TCTTTTAATTTCAGAAACCTATTAGGTATTACTTTAGCTTCCTAAGTTTTTCTACCAAACCATACCATACACAATCCTAGTATTTTTAAAGTGCTTATATGTTATGTACATATATTTAAGGAAATAAAATTATACTACCATATCTCAGGATGAAGTTAATTTTAAAAAATAAGTTATAACCCCCTCAAATTAATTATATCATAAATAGTCAAGATCAATATTCCACACATGTTGCTGCTCTACAAATACAGTAGACACAAGACATTGCCCCTTATCTGGTAGCCATTTTTCACATGCAAAAAAAAAAAACTTCATAAAACTTAATGTATGATGATCGGAATCAAGAATAAGACAGAGAAATACAACTGTGAGGAACTAACTAGGCTTCGCCATTAGAAGAATAATTCACTCCCTTATCACTGCCCTGCAAAGCACCTATTTTCGAAACTCATGGTTTAGCAGATTACATAGTAAAATCTTAAGGGTAGCGCACAGAGTCATGAATGTTAAATTTATAATCATGAATGTTAAGCTTTAAATTTCTCTTTTATAAGCATACATCATAGTGAGTCCAAAGTTGTAATCCTGGTGAACTAATCCGAAAAACACTGGAAAAGAACTGCTCCTCTTTGAAGAATTTTGGAAACTTAATGTCTCCTTCCAACAAAGGAAACTGCTTTCTGATATCTGCCACATCCTGCATGACAGAAACATAAAAATCAAAAATTTTATGAAAAACAATATGAGAAAAGAATTTTAATATATGATCATTTTAGGGACCACTCCTTAACACTATAGCCAAATTAGTATCTGACTACATGTCAATCCTTAATATAATTATTCAGAATTTTATACTATTTTGGATTCATATTTTATTAGCTGGTCTCCTATAAGATATGTAAGAGATTTCCTTTGCAGAGATTAGAGATTAGATGATTTTAAACACTAAAATTCCCTTTTTTTTTTTAACCTGAGACAGAGTCTTACTCTACTGTCGAGACTAGAATGTTGTGGTGTCAGCATAGCTCACAGCAATTTCCAACTCATGGTTTCAAGTGATCCTCCAACTTCAGCCTCCCAAGTAGCTGGGACTACAGGTATCTGACACAACATCCAGCTAATTTTTTCTGTTTTTAGTACAGATGAGGTCTTGCTCTTGGCCAGGCTGGTCTCAAACTCCTGAGCTTAAGCGATCCTCCTACCTCAGCCTCCCATAAACACTAAAATTCTATGGGCCTACCTGAGAACTAAGTAATCATCTTTAGTCATCTTACTACTTATTCAGGAGCATAGATCATTGACAAAGGAACAGAAAATGATAAAACAGCTTATATGTCAGGCAGGAAGTATAAAAAGTATAGTGCCAGCTAACATATAGACATCTACATAGGTTTTGAGCAATTATTTTACATTCAGAATTCTTACCTTTCTAGGGTCTTCTCCAAGTGACCGTAAGTAGTATTTCTCATCCTTAAACATCCCCAAAAAATAATGTCAGCATTCATTGAAATATATTAGGATTTATACAACTATTATGTATCTATAATAAATAACAAAAATTAAGAAAAGAGAACTATGTAGAGAACTACAGGAACAAACAGGAAAATATCTGAACTTCAAAAATATTAGAAAGTAAAGAAGGAAAGAAATAAATCTTCAAATTTGACCCTGTTGTTTTCTAAAAAGTTCAATCATCTTACCCTTCCTGCTAATGCTCTCTGGTGGCCATATGAAGCAATGGCTTTATGTGTTGCTCAAAATCATGACTGGATCCACAAAACATTAAGCAAAATAAATTCTAGAGACAGCACACCTGTACCATATCTAAAGCTACGATGTTCATGTAATCTAAATCTGTAATTTAGATTTTATACTTCTAAGCTATTTGGACTCTTTTAATGGTATCTTTTTTGTTTGTTTGCTTTGAAGAAGGAGGTTTGAAAGAGTATCTTACTACTTAATCAAAGAATTCCCATTTGTATAGCATATTTTATCTCATAGTACTGTTGAGGGCTAAGAACAAACTTCTTAATATAATACAAGTGTAGAATAACAGGTAAATAAAATGCCTTATGCATTTATTAAGAATAGACTTTTAAAAAATCTGAGACATTGGATTTTATCAAGCTAAGTCTATCCCTGATAAGATCAATTCGCAAGCTATATGCTTAACAGTCAGCTCATGTACACTTGTGAATTAGAATTCTATCACTTCCTAGTAGTAAACTTAAATTGATATTTTTGAAAATTATCATTTATGCTTTAGTGAGGACTAAATAGGCAACTGTTAACATTCACTGTTGCCTGAATTTCCTATGAGAATTAGAAAATTGAGGTATACTGAGTCAAACATACAGGCACTCCAACTTGAGAATTCTGCCATTAGAACACAAACTTCAAAAGATTATCTTGTTAACCTTAAGATGTAATAAATCTATGATCATGAATTTCACTGAGTGCTCAGATTCACTATTTCTATATTTTTAGCTAGTACCACATTAGATAAAGTCTATAAACTTATTTATTGGCTAAATAGGTTTCAAGGTATATTCTTCAAAATTCTAATGTTCTTTCAGTTCTAATGTTTCAGGATTTAAAAAATAAATTCATGTGGCAGACACAGAGATGCACTGTTCAGAATCTCCTTCAAGAAAGAATTCGCTGCTTAGTTGCAATGAGTGTGATTAAGTTAGGCAGCATCAGCATTTTAAGTAAAGCCATGCAATTGTTGGGGTAGTCCTGATCAATAACTGAGTAAGATGGTGAAAGGCCTAACCTTGCCACCCACTGGAGGACTCCTGACAGGCAGTCTTCACTCAGAGTTCAACAGTGAGGGGCAGAGATGCTATCAGATGTGTGTCTATTTGATGGCTTTCCCCTGCTTTCCCTTCATAGCTATCACTCCCCAATAAACCTGTTGTACTCCTAATTACATCTCAGCATCTGCTTCCTAGAGGACCCAACTGGCAGTTCATGTTCATCTTATTTACATACTTTCCCTAATTTTTAGACTTTTACTTCGCCTTTCATGGCTATTTAAATCTGTGTCATTCCTTACCCTTAGACAGGAAAGTGCCAAAGGGCAACTGAATATGCATGTTCAAAGCATGGCTATGAAGTTAAAAAACAGCTCTCAGGTACAGTTAATGGAATCATTTTTAAAAGAGAATCTAGTTATAGTACAGAATCATGGACCTCCAGAGTTTATGTGCATGTTGGCGGTAATCTCGTATAACTGTCACCTGATAAGAGAATTGCGAAAATGTTAACACCTTTTAGGGCCAAACTGCCTAGCCCAAGCTGGTTCAAAGGCTAACAACAGCTTTATTAGAAGCTTAAAAAGCACTTTATTTTTAAAATGTGCTTTTGTGATAAGAGAGAAATTTTAAAAATATATTTATATATAAGCCTCATTGTCTTATCTCAAGGTATTTAAATTGAATTACTTAAAGCTGAACTACACTCACTATAATGTCAATAACTACAATTCTTCTGCATTTAGTATTGAACAGATGTTACAGTAAGTGTACACATTAGAAATCATGTTAATATATAATATCAATAATATATATAAAATATGAAAAGTCTAATAGTCAATAGGATATGAAAATAAAGTTCCCCATTCTCATCTGAATTTGCTTTACCAGACCAAAGCATTTTCAAAGGAAGTAGTATTAATAGCTAACATTTAATGAGTAGTTTCTATGTATTATGCATCCTGCTAAGTACTGTACAGGCTTTATTTAGTATATCCTCACAAAAACTTTATGAAATAGGTACTGTTATTATCTACCTTTTATAGATCAGTATACTGAGGTACAGAAGAATAATTTGGCCAAGTTTTAAAAGCTAATGAATACTGGAGTTAGAGTCTATGGTACATCCAACCAAATGAGAGTGGGTTACAGTTCTTGTATATTTAATCTTTCTTATAAGAAAACCATATAGTATATAGATATTATTTCTTTAAAAAAATTAAAATTACCTCTGAAATAAAGAATTCTTTATGCTTTTCTTCAGCTGCCCTCTGAACTAACTCATCAAAAGGTAATGTTCTGAAATAAACAGAAAACAATATTTAGAATTAATGTAACAGACCAACTAGTAATAATGTACTCACTATACATAAAGGTATGTTGGAGTTGGATATAGTCTTCTGTTTTACAATATCCATAATTTTTATAACCTATTATGTAGAATTCTAAATTTTCAAAATCCATTGAGTGGTATGTTTATTTGACCTAAGTTATTTGAACTTTTGAAATCAAAGATGGAATAGATGGATCCTTTTCATAGGTCAGTATCTTTCTATTCTAAGTTAGTAACAGAAAAGTATTTCTATGGTATTGATTACCTTTGGAAATACACCAATTTTCAGGCTCTGTCTGCTACTTGTGTTCAAGTATCATAGCAAAACAAATGTTGTGATGAGTGGGGCAAATCACCAGCGCTACTTGGGAAGAGATAGTATGCAAACAATCCAATGAAGATAAACTTCCCACCCCACCATCTTCTTGCCTTTTGGCACTATCATGGAACATAGAAGCCAGTAACACCACTCTCATCCTCCCGTACCACCCCCTGTCATTTAAGGCTTCTGAGGAATAGCTCACAGAGAATTCCAGTGAAATGACCAATTTTTATTCTTCAACGCCTTTTCCATCCTAGTGAACAGGGCCAAACACTATAGAAGCAAAGTTTGTTTTCTTTACATCACACTCCTGAGTCTGTTGCTGGTTGGTTGGGGCCATGTTTGAACCCGCCACCCTCAGTATACAGGGCTAGCGTCCTACTCACTGAGCCACAGGTACGGCTCCCTTGCAGTTTGGCCGGGGCTGGGTTCAAACCCACCACCCTCGGTATATGGGGCCAAGCGCCTTACTCACTGAACCACAGGCGCTGCCCAACACACTCTTGCATCTGGATCCCCACCTATTCCTTCAACTTTCTAGAATCAAAAGTATTGCCCTGTACATGGAGTTGACACTGTATCTGTAACAAGACACTTAGGTCTTCTTTTTTTTTTTTTTTGGCAAGGGGTGGGTTTGAACCCGCCACCTCCGGCATATGGGACCAGCGCCCTGCCCTTTTGAGCCATAGGTGCCGCCCCTACACTTAGGTCTTCAAACGTCTCTCCTCTGCACCCTGACTGCACTCTGGCCTTCTCAGAGTTATATAATCTTTTCAGTCTTCCTACCAGTATCTTCCCTCTTGAAAGGTGTACTAAAGTGAGAGAGTGAAAGGGCTAGCAAAATGATTTCTCCTTCTTTATCAGAAAATGACCTTGGGCCAATTTACTTTCCCTTAGCACTGTTTTCCTAGATAAATGCAGTGTGTCAGCTGTGCCATCAGGCAGATTTTAAAACTGACCCTTGACTGGTAAAGTATGTCTGCACTACAAGGCTGATGAGTAGCCAGGGGGTCCTCAAACTTTTTAAACAGGGGGCCAGTTCACTGTCCCTCAGACCACTGGAGGGCTGGACCGTGGGCCCTGGGACGAGTCAGATGCTAGGCAGGACAGGCAGCTGCGGCAAAAACACCCAGCGGGCCCAGATAAATGTCCTCGGCGGGCCGGATAAATATCCCCAACGGGCCATAGTTTGAGGACCCCTGCAACTCTTGTTAGGAAGCAGATCTGACTTTCCCATGTGCAGTGTAACTCAGTGAGGGATGGAGTATGTCGCTCAGAGGAATCTAGAAGCTAAGTTTATGGAGGATTTTAAGCTACTAGTTTCTGCAGACCATGTGGCTTATCTGAGCTATTTTGTTTCTGTACCACCTTCGGTCTTATTCCCATGCAACTTAGCTCTCACTTGATGAGTCAAAAAATGGACCACTGACACTATCCTGCTAGAGTGCTGTTTCCTGCCTTGTGTCCTGCAAAGCTAAGTGAATCTGATACCAGTTTACAGGCTAATGTCACTATGAACTTAAGGCCACTGCTGGAAATTATGCACACAGAGCACTGCAGAAGAGAAAAGGAGTCCACCATCTACACAGACCAGTGCAGAGTATGTGCCTCCTACTATAAACAGTTTCTGACCAAGTATATTGACACATCTACTTGGCATCCTCCTACTGAATGTTTTCCACCTCGGACTTCACCACATACCCTTCATTCCTACCAAAGCATCTTTGAAAAATTTGAGTCAGTGAGGAAGCTTATCTGCTCATAGGTACCTCTATTATTGGTATAGATGCCAGGCCTAGCATTCTTGCCTGGAAGATCACTGAAATGTTTCAAAACTTGTACAGAAATAGGGCAGAATAGAGACCCTGCAAGAACAGATAAGAATACTTCAGCCCAGAGATGCATAACTAGAGTGCCATTTGTAACATTTTCTCTCAGGTAGTTGAACCCGTTAAGCCCCGAGGGGGTAAAACAATGTTATGTTCTTGGCCTTGAGGTTTTGCATGTTTCAAAATGAAGGCCTCTGCTATTAAAGTGTCATTTGTCTGGAATGACATACAGACCAGAAAGGGAGGTAGTATCAAAGAAGGCTTAATCATGGGCTTGTGGAGTCTGGCAAATTTGACTATACATCCTGGGTTCCATTATTTCAATCAATATAATAGTAAGTTACTCAATATTGTTAAACCTCTGTTTTCTCATCTGTAAAATTATTATAAAAATATCTCCCAAGTTTAAATGAGCAATATAACCTGGGGTGCTTGGCACGGTACCTGATATATACAGTAGAGCTCCATAGTTTACCACCTCCCTACACTGACCACCTCCTTAGACCTAATTTTCACAGACTGGACATGTACCATGTGTATTCAATGGAAGACTGACTTCTATGTACTAGGCACCTCTATGAGTCGTATCTTGACTACCTGGACTGTGACACACAATAGTAATGTATAACTTGATAAGCTGAGCCCACTCTACACCAGGGGCAGAAGGTATGCACTTTGCCTTTCTCTAGTGTAAGTTCTTTTTTCATGTTTTATTATGATCTCATGATTGGAATAGGCCTAACGTCCTATTGTTTATCACGTGTTTTAGAAGATTTTTTTCAATGTGAAGGAATGGTCTGAATTGTAGGTACAGCCTATAATTACTGAAAAATTTTACAGTTAATTGAGACATGATGGTCCAAAGGAAAAAACTCAGAAAGCTGACACTGAAGGAAAAGGTTGGTTTCCTACATTTTCTGGAAAGCAGCTGCCAAAGAAAGACAGCAGAACATTGTGGTGTTAGCAAGACCACAGTCAGCAACATCCAAAAACATAAACATGAGTACTTGGAGAGATATGGTAGGAAATGAAGAGACCTACAGCGGAAAAGGAGGAAAACTTCCTTTGATGAAGCCACATTAAGCTGGTTCAAACAAATGACAGCAGCTAATGCCAGAATCTCCAGGCCGATGATCCAAGAAGTTGCTATACAAATTTGCATAGGAATTCAGGGTGGCTGATTTCCAAGCATCAAGTGGTTCACTGAGAAATTTAAATTGCAACACAAGATCTCCCAGAAAACCTTGTGTGGTGAATCCAATGAAGTCCCAGTAGCAGCTGTGGAAGAGTTCATCAAAAAGTCCCTGGACTTTGCCAGAAGCTTCAGAGATGACATCTTTAACTCTGATAAGCAGACTCTCTTTCAAGGTGATGAATGAGAGAAGCCTTGTCATGAGGGGGACAAATGTAAGCTTAGAAAACTTTCCAAAAAACATTTCAGAGTTCTCCTTTGTGCTAGCTTGCTGGTGAGAAACTAAAGCCCTTGGTGATGGTTAAATCAGGAAAGCCACAGGCATATTCAACAACCTGAAGCCTAAAGACCTCCCCATCACTTCAAGATCAAACCAATGCACCTGGATGACTGGTGCCCTACTGGAGGAGCAGGTAAGGGGTATCAATCTAGAAATGAAGAAGAAATGGTGTATTCTACTGACGGTAAACAACTGTCCTGGCCAGCCGCAAATAATCATCTCACAAACATGACACTGACATTTCTGCCACAAAACATGACCTCAAAACTCCAACCTCTTGACCAAGGCAACATCCAAACCTTTAAAATGCACTACTAAGCCCAGCTCCTGGAGTGGGTCATCACTGAAACACCAAGCTGGGGCCTGCCTGTGGAGCACCTTCACCTGCTGTATCAGTTAACACTCTGGACGCTGTCTCAGTTCTGCTTAGAATACAGTTCAGCCAGAAATGACACAGCAGTGGTCCAAGAAAGCTGGATTTGTCACAACACAAGAACATGATGTTTGGACCCATCAGTCTATCTCCCATGATAGAATTCAAAGAGTTCATCTACTGATTTTGAAAGTTTTATTGCAATGGATGTTGAGGTAGCAACCCGTAATGACCCAGAAATTGTCCAAGGGATACTGACTGAAGTACAGACCACTGTAAAAGTGGATGAAGCAGCTGACGAAGTGAAAGGAGCAAGTGACAATGACCAGAAATTGCAGCGAAAAGAAGAGGATGTCAGACATCTGACAATGTAGTTGAAGTCATTTGCTATGGAAAATTGCCCAGGTACGTTGAGTGGTGTAGACAGCATTAAGAGTGCTTTCTCCACTTAAGTTTGTAAAAAGAATAAGAAACAAAGACTGACTCTTTTTTCAGAAATAAACCATGAGAAAATAGTGAATGTATTGTTTTGTATAATACTGTATATATAATTTTACTGTTTTGATTACATATGATTTCTTATGATATTCTCTAACAAAAGCTGTATAAGAAAATAAAGTACTTGATTGTGTCAGTACAGGAGGCCTAGTTCCTTATGTTACCAGCTCCATGTGTGGACCAGTTTGAGGTACTCCCTCGGGTGGTCACCTTAAGAGGTTGTACCCCAGCTAGTTCTCAGTAAAGGACAGACGGTGGGTTAACAACAATGACAATGTTGTTAGAAGCATGCGAGTAGTAATCAACATTAAAAAAGGAGAAAGAACCTTTCACTGTCCTGTTCCTCACTTTGGAAATGCTGCTTTACGAATCAAGACCAGGACTGAAGAAAGTATAATAAACACTAAGAGTAAGACAATGATAGGAATTACATAATGTGATGGGTAGATACAGCAGAGTTTACCTAAGATTCACACTTCCTTTTGGTTGTTGTTGTTAAATTTATGATCAGAAGAATATCAACAATATCCTTTCATCACACAAGGTCCTGATATTCAGACTATCCTGACTTTCTGAAAGGAACAATGAAAGCTACCACGAAGAAAGAAGTAAATGTGAATACTTGTTAATGTATCAGTCTTCCAGTGTTTGATAAAGCAGAAAAGCAACCCAAACCAAAGTGATAATGATATATGTATATGTAGGATTTCTTACTTTCTATGCTCTCTTTGGCCTGGAGGCCTCCCCTCTTTCCTGCTGCCTGGCAAATGCTAAAAATGACTAAATCTATTTTCTTTCTTGCACTAAAAAAAAAAAACAACTTGCAACTTTTTAGTAGCTCTAGTGAAAAGGCTTGGCGGAAGCTGGGATAGGAACTATTACATAATGTATGTGCTTCAAAAACAAGTTTTGAAAAGTTTAAAGACAAACAAAACATCAAGGCAATTCAAAATGAAGTTTCAATACCCGTTTGTTATGGCATTGGACTCTCTGGAAAGTAAACATCATTAACTGCAGGCTGAACAGCACTTATCAATCCAGCACTTTCTTCTACTTTCTTAATTTAATTAAAAATGAAAAGTTCTTAAACTTGGAAAAACTTACAGCAATTAAATTAAATTCACGGTCTATTAATAAACGAAACCATAATGGTGACCATTCAAAGGATCAAAAACTGAGAAATGGTTTGGCAGCTGCTACATGAGCTTGGAAAACTCTAATGAGAAAGGAATGACTGTGGACATTAGCAGCTCTGTTAACTCATCTTTAAATTGGAGTCTCTTGTGAACTACAT